CTCCTCACCACTGCCACTGCTGGACTCCTGTGAAGAGAAAAACAAACACCAAGCAGCCCAGAGGAACCCCACACCAAGAACAACCTCCAGGCTTCACCTTTTTTATACATTCAAAGAGAAGTTTAAAGTTATACTAGTTTTATTTTCAGGCACTAGCTCTTGCTACCAGTGGTCTTCTGCCTCTTGCCATGATCTCTCCAGAGGCACCTGATGGCATCTGCAATGTATATACCCTCTGGCTACATGGTGTCTGCAATGCCAGGTACACTCTAAAGAAAAAAATCAATGCAGTATTCTGGTAATATTCCCTACCTTCCCCATGGCATCAAATAAACTGCCCAGCTTTATGGTCTTTATTTCTCAGGGGTGCCCTCTCAGACCTTTCTACCTGTAGTGTTAATGGGATATTCCAGGAGCAATGAACACGTCCTTCCAAAGTCTGGTCTGCTGATGCTAAAGCACCATTTCTGTGGCTTTTAATTAAAAAGGCACCTTCTTTTCAAAGCCTGTCTCCAGAGCTCCAGTGTAAATGTTTGTACAAGCCAGACACACGCAGCAAACAGAGAAGGCTGAAGCTGCAGTGCCTGCAGGCTGCCCAAATAGAGCTGCTCTTGTGTTCCTCAGACAGAACTCAGAGCCTTATCACCCCCAAACATCTCTGTTTTCATACCAAGCCCCACCAGGCTGGCAGTGTCACTGGGGCTCAGCACACTCCAGAGGCAGCAGAAGGCAGCACTGGGTGCCCACGGACGGGAGCAAAGGGAACCTGCCCCTCAGCAGCAGAAAGGCCAACGGGCAGGAAAAGGAGAAAGGGCAGAAAAAAAACCCCAATCTGGTCACATTGCCGTGAGTGACAGCACTGCCCTTCCAACAGAGCTGGTTCTTCCTCAGGGCACAGCAGGAGTCAGGCAAGGGGAGCAGCAGGATTCCTGACTGTTCCCATTTGCTCCAGTTGTGTCTGGTCGCTCCTGGCCTGGAGCTGCTGTTCCCACACCCAGAACAGGCAGAGCTCAGACCCCTGTGTCTCTCCCAAGAAACTCTTTC